GAAAGACGCTCTATCTGTTCATAAAAAAAGAAAATTTTTTCAAGCTTGCTATAAGAAAAAAAAGTACATGGGCCACTACTTTTGGATAATCCTAAGCATTTCATAATTCCCAGTATTCTGTAGGGCACATCAGGGGCTATCAAATGAAACTGGAACGACCTCGATTGCTTTAACCGTTTTCCAGAAAATGTTAAAATACCGACCACAGTGAATTTGTCAATAAAATGACTTGATGATCAGGAGGGTGAAAAAAATTGCCTCGAGCTAAAATTTTTTACGAGGGTTTTAAATCGAAAAAATATGGATTTGTCGGTAAAAATGAATGTTCTTTCAAACCATGTTGTTAAAATCGAAAAAAAAAATTTAGCGGCGGCCGATCATCGGAAAAATATTCTATCTTTTCACAGAAACTTTCTTAATCTTTTGTTTTAAACAATGAAATCTGTTAAAATCTAACTATAGGGCCTCAAATTCGGACAAACTTGCGGAAACTCCAGCTCATGTAATCCTGAGAGGCGAAGTCTGATATTTTTAATTACTAGTGCTCGCTGAGCTTTACCTATCAAAAAAAATGTTATCAAATTCTGACGTGTCTGTTTTGAGATAATCGAAGTTTAATAGGATAACTTTCGTGACCCTTGGTCCATTTAGACCCACATATCTAGACTATGGAACGCTTTGGAAAAATCTAACATATTAAGTTTGAATGAGCATAGCGTACGGTTCGTTTTGAATATAAATTGTTATGGCCTCTGATTGAATATGTAAGTTTTATAAAGATTATATTTTTATCAGACAGGGTAATATTTCTCAAATTTTCAAATGCTCTCAAACGGTGAGCTTTACCGATATAATGCTGAAAATTATTTTAGCAATACAACTTTTTTATGCTCTATCTAATGGTTAAATCGAAAGACTGCAAGAATGCTCAACAAAAAAAAAATAACAGACAGATTTTCGGGACCATTTTTCGAAAAAATTGATTATTGAGCCTGCCGTTATTCAGTTAGCGGATGATTCTAATCAAGACCACATAGCAATTGGTACATAACTTGACAAGGGCTACACGACTAGCATACTTAAATCTTGCCAGCAGAAAGTCAATGTAAATCTGGAAGGAGCTGCGTGGAAGTACCTAAGGGTTTATTGCCTTGGAACTCAAGGAAAGAGGTTTACTATTCTACGGTTTCAATAGAAGGGTTTATTATTTTACGTATAAGGATATACTATCTATGAATTTAAGCCAAAGAGTTTATGATTTTTGCATAAGGATGCAATTTTCGATTTTTAGCGAGAATTATATTTTTTTACGCATAAAAGATCATTTTTTAGACGCCGTTCTTTTAAAACTGATTTAGAAAGATAATATGTCCCTTATATCTTATACTAATATTTACTGCTCTTTCTAGTCAATCTTTCAGAAGTAGCCAAACGTTCGTAAAAGCTATTCCAAGATTTGATTATTATGAACTATTGATCCGATCTTTTTTAACTTTTTTCAGTCTCGGGTGTTCAGTGAGAGAAGTAATATGAGTGTGCTAAATATCTTCCTAAACCCTTTTTAAGGCTAGATGAGTGTATTCAACATTTTCCTAAACCCTTCAGAAGCATATATGAATAGATATTTGATTTTCATAAACCCTTAAAGTGTTTATGATTATACTCTTTTTTTTCTACAAAGTAGCTTCATATGAAACCTGTTTATCAGTCGTAGATCCCAAAGCATTATGACAACTAACATGATATTCATAATGACCGCATCGACTACCAGTATGCTCATTGTGATTCAGTCCACCAGTTGATGTTTTACATGATGATGAAGCCACTATTTCACCATTTGAAAGCCAAGTACAAAATAGATTCATATTAATTCTAAATATATATATGTATTTATGATTTGATTTAAGAGCGAGTCCATGGCTCAGTCGAGAATGTCCAGCATCAGAAAATTTTTGACATACTCTTTTTATGGTTTCAAAAGAAAGCCTGAACAAAATTACCGGCAAAAACAAAATTTTAGCCCGATCGGATGTAATCCTGAAAAATGAGAAATGAAACACCGAGAGGTGGGGTGGGTGGGTCGGATACCCATATATCGATCAATTTTAGTATTTTGACAATATCTCGGAAACAATTCAACGCATTGAGTCGAGTAATATCTCAAAGGATGGATAATTATTTTCTCTACAAATTAATGTATTTGAGATCTTCCTATATGTTAATGCTTGTTCTCTGAAGTCAAATCAGAACCAGAATCGTGAACATTCGAATCGATCATTTTTGACATATTTTGAGTCTTACGCCTCAGCATCAAGTGGGACCAGAAGTTTTATTTCTGCTATCGATAGAGCTTGAAAAATGCTACAAATTATACTCACAGAGAAGTTCCAATCTCTATGAAGAGGTACTTTTTTTGTGGGCCACAATGTGACAATATATAGGCGTTTTTTTTGACTATTTTTCAGTTTTTTTAAATCCAGAACACCATAATGCAATCGAATGACAAAATAAATATCATATTCGTAATCAGCATCACAAACTGAGTCGAACAAGCTATCTTTTTTCTCGAAACAAATTCCATGAAAAACACGCCCCTATTCTCCCTACAGTCACTTTTTCTGAATAATTTCGCCTGTACTCCCCCTAGGGCCGATATTTTGACGAAAATTTTTTTTCAGAAAAGCACATGTTGTTCGACTCAGTTTGTGATGCTGATTACGAATATGATATTTATTTTGTCATTCGATTGCATTATGGTGTTCTGGATTTAAAAAAACTGAAAAATAGTCAAAAAAAACGCCTATATATTGTCACATTGTGGCCCACAAAAAAAGTACCTCTTCATAGAGATTGGAACTTCTCTGTGAGTATAATTTGTAGCATTTTTCAAGCTCTATCGATAGCAGAAATAAAACTTCTGGTCCCACTTGATGCTGAGGCGTAAGACTCAAAATATGTCAAAAATGATCGATTCGAATGTTCACGATTCTGGTTCTGATTTGACTTCAGAGAACAAGCATTAACATATAGGAAGATCTCAAATACATTAATTTGTAGAGAAAATAATTATCCATCCTTTGAGATATTACTCGACTCAATGCGTTGAATTGTTTCCGAGATATTGTCAAAATACTAAAATTGATCGATATATGGGTATCCGACCCACCCACCCCACCTCTCGGTGTTTCATTTCTCATTTTTCAGGATTACATCCGATCGGGCTAAAATTTTGTTTTTGCCGGTAATTTTGTTCAGGCTTTCTTTTGAAACCATAACAAGAGTATGTCAAAAATTCTCTCATGACGGACATTCTTCCAAATGCTCGATTGAGTCATGGACCCTCTCTTAAATTCTTAATTCATACCCTTCACATTGACTTGTATCAGCTTCTGCACACATCATTTTAGCTTTATGAACGTATGACACTTTTCAAATTGACAAAGTAGAAATAAATTCCTAAAATAAAAAGAACTACTGATCAATTTTTTATATATCTATCATAGAAATATCTAATGTTCAATCAAGAATGAATGACATTATACATAAATACAAATACCAAACATTTATTTTATAACATCATAAGTATTTTTGTTCATATACTTTTCAATTTGTTGCTTATAAATTAGAAGTATCAATGAAACAAAGCAAAAGGCTATAAATCGTTGTCGTGTCTTTCTGATAAATACTTCAAGAAGGTTAGCATATAACCATGAGAATAGTGTAAAAGAGCTATTCAATAAATCAGATGAGGGAAGATCAGTTTATTAAAAGAAATCAAAAAAGAGGAATTTCCAAGTATTGAAGTCATTGCATTAACATTATTGTATATTATTTATAATAGCATGACTTTTCTTATATCATGCATACAACTAACCTATGAAGTTTGTATCTCGATTTTAAGGTGAACATTTCGATGTTTAAGAAAAACCGTTATTAGCGCACCACCTTTGGGTCTGAAATGTAGAACTTACATTTGTTCTTCAGCTTTATTATACTAAATATAATATATAGAAAGTGTAAAATAAAGAATTTTTTTATTGTTATTTTTCCTGATGGAAGCCCCTATTCTACGTTTTCATTGTTGCTATAAGATTAATATTTTTCATGTTCTTAATTTAATACTTTTGTTACTATAAGTATCGAATTCAATGGGCGTAAAAGCTGACACACATATTCATTATTTAATATTGGTTGATAAGGTGTGCAATCGAAAGAAGGGGAAGACAAGAAAGAAGAGTGAAAGCTGGAAAACTTTTACTTAAAACTTACACTCATGGTTTTCTTCCAAAACATATCTCAGTTCCACAAAAAGTTCTTCTCAATTAGTCATTTGATATCCATTAAGAACAAATAAACCATTTATGCTATTTCAAGCAAAACAGGCCATACTCATCTTTTATTTGGCTTTGATTCGTTACAAAAGTTATTTCTGTGAATAAATATCTTAACATTTTCATGTGTGACAACCCAGTGAGACACATTAACAACCAAAAAAAGCATTGAAACATGTCACTGTTTAAACTGTTACAAACGTCAGACAAGTCGCACTAATGGCATTCAAGCAGTTTAAGATTAAAGATATTTTTGTAGCATGTTCACAGACGGAACATAGCAACAGAAAACACAAGATCCTTAAAAAATTTTCTCACTTTTTGTCCCACCCCGAAAAACGGAGCAAAATATTGATACTTATATCTGTTGGAAAAATAAGTTTTGAAAAAAAAAATTTTTTTTAATCAGTGGATAGGATTTTCTGCTCTTTCAAATAGTATATAATTTATATTTGTCACACATTCATCAAGGAAATGGTAAACGAAAAAACAAGCGAAATACTCGCACATTAATTCGTAAAGTTTACATGAAATGATCACACACATTTTGTTAGACAGTATTTAATTTGATTTCTGTCTACCCATTAAAGACGTTCTGAAAAAAGATGTTTACTTAACCTTTTATGAAATCAGTAAAAGTATCTTGCAAAACGGCATTATATTATAATTAAGATCCTTCTCAGAAATAGCTGATTTTGGTCCAAGGTATCGATTTTATGATTTATAGCTAGTTAGATAGAGCAAAATGTTTACTTTGGAATCCCCTATAGTTTAATAAGTTTATGATAAGATTTAAAAAATATCGCATATGTTTTTCTGAGCCCTCACATAGAGAAAAGTATCGTTTTAGAAAAATCCGATTTTTAGCTTTCCATGCACCTCAGGTTTTCTGGTCACTTCAACCCTTTGAATCCCAAAATTATTTCTGCTCGGTTGAATTGAAGTAGACTGTTATATTAACTTATTTTACAAACAAAAACACATAACACAAATATCTCGTGTGCACTCACATGTGTTTTACTCAGTGTAAGTTATTATTCAATTTTGCTACACTTGAATGAAAAGTTTAATTTATAAATTATGTTGTGAAAATATTTATTAAATAGGTATAGCTTTTTTTATACTATGGAGCCCAAAGGAGTTTGATGGCAACAGAAGCTAAGAGAAGATTGGAAAAATCGAGCCATATTAGGTTGTGGCCGCACATCTCAGTTACATTGTTAAGTCAACCTGAATTTCCTAGAATTTGAAATGGCAGGCGTGGATGTGAGTGTAGGTTTGAGAATCTTCTCTTGAACACCACACCCACACCCACACTCCTAAACAGTTCTCAACTTACTGTATAGTTTATGAGCTCCCATGTCGATGTATTGATCTCTTTCTTGCGTAGAACGATTAGCAACACAGAAAAGACGAATACTTTTAAAAGTTAAATCATTCTGAGAATGCTAAGTACCTTAAAATTGATCAACAAAAAACTGTGTCACAGCGTTACGTTTGTTTTTTACATTTTCTATCTTAGTAAAAATAGTGTTGAGAAAACTTTTTGTAGCGTTTAAAAGCGCGTTCGAAGCTCTACAAAACCGACACCAGACTTGTTTCATTTCGAGAAATAATTTCACAAGAAATTAGAGTTTTATAAGTGGCCCTGAACGAAAAGGGTCTTTTCATGTTACAGCGTTACGCGACCAAAAACCTTTTCTTGAAGTCCGAGAGTTTAATCGACAACCGTCGTTTTAATAGCGTGAATAGAGCACGATAAGCTGCGTCGAATGACGTTTGAACGAAAGTTTCGGCTGTCAAACTTTTCCGAGATAATTCACAAAAATATGTCAAAAATGTCACAGCGTTACTTTTGGACAAGTCACCCTGTGGTAACACGGCTGAATTTTGCAACAAAATCATCCGCAGGGGAGTATAGGCGAGTTTTTGACAAAAAATGAATTTTGCTAAAAATTATTTAGTTTTATGCAACTTTTTGAGTGGAATCCGAATACGTTAATCATTTCGTTCTAAAATTGAGTTATCATGACGAAAATCACTAAATACTAGCATAAATTTAACCATTTACTGTATGGTTTTGTTACTGATTTGGAGAAAAGTTCAATTATCTCAACAATATAAGAAGATTGTCCAAATTCCATACTTATTTTTTCAGTATATAGATGGTGATTATAAATATGGAAAAAGAATCAATATAGCATGTGTCTATGATGAGTTGATGTTTTTAGAAGGTACCCTTCTGAAGGCTATTATCTCTATGTATAGGCCTAGTCATAGTAGACTCGACTGTTCAATCATTTTATCTTTCAAATTCGTTGAAGGTTTTCTTTTAATATTGAGTCCCGTCGGAAGTGTCGATTGAAATAGTTGGAGAACAGACAATCAAGATTAAATATAAAAAATGGCAATATACTAGCTATACAGAGTTGTGCATAACCTTTTGCTAGGGAGTAGCGCTATGATTTCAAGTTG